TCCAACATAATCATATCTGAAAATTATTAAAACTTGCGTCATACAACAACTCTCATCAACACCTAACTTCTTCATATATAACCCAAATAAATCATGGAAATAACCTAAACGTGTTTCTAATATTATCAACAGTAAGAAAAAAAATAAATAAGGAAAATAGAGGATTAACAATCACATAGGCGTAAAAGAAATTCTAAACATGTCATTCTATCAATCAATTAAAATTATCATTGTGACAAAATTAAAAAGTTAGCGATAACAATCTCATAACACTTTCCTCAACAATAACGTCACAACCATCATACACAAAACTATGAAGATATATGAACATCTCCCTCCATCAATAAAAAAAACACGAAACATCATGATAGGAACACCTACATTTAAAACAACCTTTTCAATATTGTGTTCTTCTTAAAAAAAGAAAGGAAGATAATGAAAAATTCTATGGTGGCTAGGGCTCTTGAGAAAAAGTGACAGAGAGAGGTATGAGAGAGAGAGAGAAAGAGAGAGAGTAGGAGCTTGAGAGGGAGAAAGCGTAAAAATTTTCTAATGGAATGGAGGTGAAAACGTACGATTCAAAAGGAGTATTTTTTTTTCCCTTTCATTTCCCTCCTCTGACGTCCACGCTAATCTCCCTTTTCTTGCATTGACTATGTAAATGGCTAAATTATATCAAAGGAAAAGCTATATATATCCAAAGCATGAATCTGCCCATTTTACTTCTTCTTGTATGAGTATGGGTATATTTACAAGTTGTCTACTTACTGCCACTAAGCCAAATACAGAAAGAATCATTCAATATATATCAACTCAATTAAGAAAATTAATTGACTTGAATTGGGTGATTAATGGGCTGTCAATGAGGTAGAAATCGTGTTTCAAACTATGGTCAAAGTTTCTTTATACGGTCATTGACTCCAAATACATTAAACTAGTCCTCACTAGAGATGCAAGAACGGGCTGGCCCAGTCCGGCCCGGCCCGTACCTCTTAGGCCCACGCAGGTCGGGTCGGCCCAGCCCATGAATTTTGTGGGCCGGCCCGTATAAGAATTACCTCGGTCCAACCCACACCACAGGCCAATTTTACTTGGGCCAGGCTGGGTCATGCTACGAGCCAGGATGGGCCGTGTCGTGGGTCTTGAATGGGCCGACCCACTCAAGGCCCATCATGGGTTTAGATGGGACAGCCTATCTAAGCATGTAAGCTTCAATTTTTTTTATTTTTTTTATTTTTAAATTTTTAAACAAGTTAACAAATATATATGTTTAAATAATCAATGAAAATATGAAAAATGATATTTTATTTACGATACCCTGTGAGACTAAACCTTGGTAAGAAAAAAGAGTACAATAAATATAATTATACATAAAATATTTACAAAATTACTAAAACAAAGAAAAAAAACATAAAAATATTATGGGCCTAGATGGGCTGGGCTGGGCCTGGCCATTATGGGCCTATATAGGCTGGGATGGGCCAGCCCATCATGGGCCTAGATGGGCCAGCCCATCCCAGCCCAAGCCCGGCCTGGCCCATGATTTTTCATGGGCCATGCCGGGCCGGCCCATGGGCCGATATATTTGGCCCAACCCAGCTCACCAATATTTTATGGGTTGGGTCGTACCTTGAACAGTGATGGACCGTGCCAGCCCGGCCCGTCCCTGTGTTAGGATGGGCCTGGGCCGGCCCACGAGCCCCAACCAATTGTTGCATCTCTAATCCTCACTCTTAACAATTCAGCATAGAACCAATCATCACCAACAAAGTGCAATAACATAAACGGTGGTTGGCTATTGATATTTTATATATATAATATATATACACTAAAATTGAACGTATATGTATTTTGTAATACCATATATCCATATAATCTATTAATGGTGTTAAATCAACACATATATCCATCATATCATCATATAAAATTTAACAATTTGTCATGAATTTGTTATTACACCACAAGTCCTCGTCGTGATCACCTGTAGAATATAACTCAACGTGATGTTAGAATTAACTAATTATAACACCATAACATTATTCAAGTTAATTTCTAGCGTCCATTTCTACGAATTTGTCACTTAGAAAAATGGGTGTTACCGTCTGTGGTTATTGAGTCCATGAGTGATGGACATTATCCTTGCAGTTTGAAGACGAGTGGTGCTCGCTAAACAATGTCATTAAGGAGATTCTTCACAGCGGCAACAACTTCAAGGAGGAAGCCTTTAGGTGTACAAGTTCGAGTCATGGTTGTACTAAATTGGACTTAGTAGATTGTTCAATGTTTGAGCATTACTTTGTAGATGTAGGTTTCTTAACCGAGCCGAGATACTAATCTCTAGCATTCTTTATTTTTATGCTTAATGTTCCTACTTGATTAACTTAAATGTTGCTGAGTCTAAAAACTATTTAACCATCAGTGTTTTAAAAAGTGTTACAATACTCTCTATAACACCAGTCTTAAAAACAGATCTAACAAAGCCTAATGATATTTTGGTTCTCAAACTTTTAATTTTAACATATTAATCTCTGAACTTTTTTTTTCGAATTTTTGATCCCTACCACTAAAATTGACTAATAATTTTTGAAATTTAACACAGATAATCACATGAAAACTTAAAATTGTATAGAAAATTTATATTATATATAAATTTTTCTCTTTTCTCCGTTAATATTATAATCTGTTAAAACTATGGCATTTTATACTTATTGTAGTTATTTAAATAAATTTCCATGTATTAAGCAATAAGGATCTGATTATCTAAGTTAACTTTTTGAAACTGTTTGTCAATTTAAGTATTAGTAACTGTCAAAAATCGAAAGTTGAAGAACTAATATGCTAAAAAATTTTATAGATAAAATATAACCATGTTTAAAGTTTAGGAACTACCAGTGTCAATAATCTGATTAAACATCTCAGTCGATTAATATAGTCATTTACCAAGGTTTTTTACACTTGATTGGTTTAAAAGATAATATACATGCCTATATATATATATATATATGATATTTTTTTCAATTCGGCCGCCGTACCACTTGAACAAATATAACAATTTTTTTCTTCCCGTGTATGATTATTTGTGTGTTCGTGTAACACTCATTATAGAAGTATACAAAACTCAATTATAGGTAATATACCATCATGTTACATCTAACATGTTCCATATTACACCCAAAAAAAAGTTATGAGACGTTTAATTCATGACTTCCGAACTATGATTTATGAGTCTGATTTTTGAAATTCAAAATTTTTGTGAGAGAAAAACACTGTAGAAAATCAAGAACCATGATTCAGAACTAAGGACGAACTCTTGAAACAAACATCCCATTACAAATTCATATGTGAAATGGTTACATCTGCTTACTTATGGCTGCCGGATTTAAGATCAATCTATGTGTTGACGGTAGATTTCAGTCAATAAGGAATTAACTCTCCGATAAAACTCACGATAATCTCTCACGTATTAATTAGGGATTAATGATGCAAAATAAGATAAAAAAGACAAGAGTTTATAGTGGTTCGGGTAAAATTCTTTTCCTACATCCACTTGTACATGCACTAATATGTTGTAGATTACAAACTCTGGTAGTCTGGAGCAGTATTGTAGTGTGCGTAAAAAACTTAATGAATTTTCATGACTCTATTTATAGGCCTTGTACATATGAGAGACCCCCTCTGCATTTTCCGAGGAGATCATCCTCTATCCCTTAATTCGGGGATTTGGCAGCTGGATTTTCATGATTACTGCGTTCCGGTCAGGCTAACCACTCTTACCCAATACCTGATTTTCTGACTTCAACAGTGGCGATAGTTGATACAGTGTATCTTTCCTTGGACTGACAGCGGATTTGACCGGGCTGCTGTCTCGACGTCGTGGCCCTCGCCACCTGAGCGGGCTCTCGATGCGTGTTAGCACACGTAAATTCTCGACGTCTAAAGGGCACCCTGGATACACTGGTTCCCTCGGTGTCAGCGATCGATCCTCAACAGGGAGGCCTCGGTGCTTGTCACCCAAAGGAACGGTCGATTCGTCGACCCTAGTGTAACACTATGTAATATCAAACATATGCAGTTGTTATCATAATGGTATTTAAAGATGGCTGAAAACACAAACACAGCGCTGGTTGCTCTCTTCCATTTCCCTTTTCTTACCATAATGCAATTTAAAGATGGCTGAAATCACAAAGCTTTCAACTCGACATGCAGATGCAGTTATAATCAGGGAAAAGGGGAATTACATAGGTCTTGGTTGGGATTCCTTACGAAAAGTTGTCCCAAGCAATAAGGAAAAGTGTTTTTTTTTTTTTTTTTTT